GGAACCATGTTTTCTGCACACCGTCACTCAACCATTTTGGGTTCCTAGCTTTTGATGAACGGCTGGAGGACCAGTCCCTGGTCTACACACAATACCTGATTGTGACAATGTGATAAACGTTTTGCTGAGTAAATTAGTTGATTTTTAATCTGTGTGAATAAAATCTGGATTAAACTGTTCTATTGAACCTCAGAAGAGCAACACATACCTGTACTAAAGCAACTAGGAGTCCATGGCCAGTGAATAAAATAAAAAAACTAGATGCCTGCTAAGAAACTGGATCCAGATCCTGGTTGGTACCTGCACACACTGCCAAGTAGAAATCCTTTGCAGGATTTATCAAGTCATTATATTCCTCAAGTTTTCTTACTAAGTTGGCAATTATGATGATGAAAGATCCCTCGGAGGGTAATAAGAATGTACAAGTGCACTTTGGCAACATTAGATGAACATTGGAATCCAATAAAACCTCCCAGGGAACAGAGGTGGACTGTCTGGAGGTCGGGACTGCAGGCTCAGAAAACAATGGTTCAGGTTTAGGTCACTGGAGGTTTTAATATACAAGCCAATTCTGTAGCGAGGTGGAACACGCACAAATTGGTCAAACGAGGTGCACTGGTACCGAGATCAAGTGGAATGGAGTAATTGGAGCAGTGCAGCCAGTTGGATTTAAGAGCCTGTTTAATAGCTGGAGAGCTCTGAAGTAACTTGATCCTGTGGTGATGAGCCTGACGTGGTGCTGAGGTGGGTTTATGGGCCTGCAGCTCCAGCGCTGTTCAGAAGGAAACACAAAGGCAACACTGTTCTCTCAGCGGAAACCTGTGATGACTAATCCTCTGGAGTGGAGCTTAACAGACCCTGGTGGTGAAACGATCAAAAGAAGAAGGAATAAAAACTAAGGAGATGGATAAATACATAATGATAGGTAAGATAATAAACAGAAAAATGAACCTCCTCACTGGTTTCAGGGCTCATGATTCAACAAATATAAAATCAAGTTGGCAAACCTGGCATCCGTGGGAGTGTTCCAGGATAAAAACCATTGGTGGAAATAAAAAAAGAACGGTTTGTCACACGTTCACAGAAATTATCTTTCCAGTTTTGGGGGAAAACGTTCTAACACTGATGGTCGGACATGGTGGAGGTGGTGTGATGGTTGGTGCTCTGCAGCTTCAGGACCTGAATGACTTGCTGTAACTTTAATAAATAAGAGAATCCTTTGACCATCAATTACTGACCAGAAGCTCAGACACACTGGAAAAATAATGTAAAGAGGGATGAGAGAGGGAGTCAAATACTGGCATTTTATTGAATTTAAAGTCTATGACATGAGCTCAACAAATCAGCTGCATTGCAAATGATTTT